ATGTTTTGTCCTTTCGTGCATACAGTTAATGTATGGTTGAGAAAGTTCTTCTTTATGTGGTTGAACTGGTTTTTCTTGTTTCTGTGAAATATTTTTTCTTGCGTGAATGATTATGTGATTGGTGTAAAGCGCTCAGAGCTTATACTAGTATGGGATAGAGCGCTATATAAATGCAATCTACCATTATTATTATTAAAGTATCTCCAGACGACTTAAAAATTTAATTCCATTTCTTAAATGTTATATTAACCAAGACCTAAATAGAATACAGTATTCTCTCCCTCAGATCCCACCACTTATGGTAGGCCTACCAGTTTGGGAAAGATCCCGCTGTTTTTGAAAAACAGAATTTTTACTATGTAAAAGGAACCCCTAAGATCCCGCTCGGAAGAAGCTACATTTAGCTAAGACCCTGCTTTTCGGGTATTTTTTCCTGGGTTTTTTAATTCCTTTTCTTAAAGAAAAAAAAAAAGAAGAAACCTGGACACACTCAGCTGATCAACCAAGTAGCGAAAATGTGCGACCATTGAACTTGGTCCGGCGCATCACAGATCATCCACTCTCGTGATTGCGATCACACATCTGTTGTAAATCTCAATAAGCAGTTACAATGTTTACCGCACACGGGATTGCACCAAGGTGCCCATACTCGTGGACTGTCCAATTGCCTTTGCGTAATGTGAACCTGCCTTTCATTCTTTAAAAAAGCGGAATCAGGGAAGCTCTCTATGAAGCGTAAGCAGCCATTCAAAGAAGAAGATGTCGACAAAGTACTCTATCTCTGGGTAAAGTAGTAGCGTGAGCGAGTTGCAAGGTTCCACATGCCTCTTATGAAAACAAGAGCAATGGAGCTGGCTACACAACGTGGGCATGAATTTGAACCTTCTGAAGGACGGCTGAATCATTTCAAGAGCCGTCGGGGACTGAAGTTCAAGAAAGAGTATGGTGAAAAACAGTCAACCGATACAGAAGCAAGTAAAGATTTCCAGCTCCACACAATTCCACGGAAGCTAGAACAGTACAGCCCTACCGAGATCTTCGACGCTGACGAAACAGGTCTTTACTACAGAGGACTGCCAGACAGAGGCTAAACATTCAACAAGGAAACATTACAGGGTGGAGAAAAGGCCAGGGAAAGAATTACAGGGCCGGTTTGTGCGAACATGGAAGAAACAGAAAAGGAGAAATTGACGGTGATTGGCAAGTCCAGACAGCCACGGTGTTTTCCAAAAGATATCAGCTGCATTCAGCACTCTGCCTGTTCTGTATAAGAAAAGCATTCTACAGATGCATGTACGAATGTCGATATTTTCAGGGAGCATCTTGAAAACTGGAATCGCCACCTGCAGACAACAAATACAAAAATATTGCTGCTGTTTGGACAATTGCTCTGACCACAAAAACGACCTACACTTGGAACTACATTGAAATAAGATTTCTGCCCCTGAGCACTACCTCAATGAATCAGCCAATGGATATGGGAATCACCAGAAATTTGAAAGGACACTACAGAATGCTCCTCAACAGTAAAATCATTATGGAAGTGGAAGGTGATGGACCAGTGAAAGCAGCAGAAGTGATAAAGAAAATTTCACTCCTTGAGGCCATCTTCATGATTATAACAGCTTGGGAAAGGTAACTCAACAAACAAGCGTTAACTACTGTGCAAAAGCTGGGTTCAACGACATGCCGATAACAGATGTTCAAGACGTAGAGACTAGGCCCGTGTCAGAAAACATGACAGAGGAAGAATTCCATGAGCTTGTGGAACAAGACAGAGACCTGGAAATCTGCGGGACACTGACAGATGCAGAACTGGTTGTAGCAGCGAAAAAACAAGAGCAAGATTGGCAACACAGACCACATTGATGAAGGTGAGGAGGGAACAGAGCCACAGGTAGAGAAGCTGTCATCCAAAGATCTTTCATCTGCAGCCATGACAATAAGTAAATTCCTCCAAAAGACAGGGGAAAACAAACTCCCTGCACAGTTTGAGGCAGTTAAGACAGCAGTTGATGATTGTGATGATTCCTATGCACCACCAGTTTTCAAAGTCAAGAAGAGGAAAGTCTTTAGTAAGGGTAAGGGAAAGAGTCCAGGAAAAAGAAAGAGGACGAAGACTAAAGCACTAAATGCTCTGTAGATGTACCAAGTTCTACCTCCTCAGATTCAACTGCTGCTACTGCCACCTCTAGTTCTATTAGTTCTAGACCTCCTAGTACCTCAACTTCAAATAAGTTCCAAGTTCCAATACAACTCAACCCCAACGCAGGCCAAGAACTACTGCAACTGATGACTGGGCTCCAGTCACTAGTGGCAGCACCTCCAACACTGTTCGGTTCCACCCAATTCTGTCCTCGTGGTTTTATGCACCCTGCATAATTTAGCCAAATTGATCATTTTTTGCATAATTTCTGATTATTTTCCTTCATCATTCTTTGTTAAAATTAACAGAAACGCATAATTTCACATTTTTGGGCACAGTTTGCATAATTTCATAATTTTTTTTGCATAAAACCGCGGGGACACCCAATTGCAGGCCGCGTACCAGGATTATCTCCCAGTCTTGGCCTGAATGAGAACTCTACAGTACTTTACTTTTTCAACGCTTTATTCGACGCAGATGTCAAAACTCATCTGACTGCGACAATCACAGCTTACGTGAAGAAGAAAAAGGATATAAACACTCCACCCTTGAAGCGATCAGTTTTCAACAGGTGGAAAGGTCTCGACAAAGAGACGTTTGAAAAATTTATCAGCCTGTACGATGCCATCATACATGACAGAATAACAGTGAAGTGGTGGAAGAAGATTTTCTACTGGCTTCTTCAAGTCACTCAGACAAATGCGTACATTTTGTTGTGTATTTTTCAGGAGGAAAAGCAGGCGTTTTTGAAAAAATTCAAAAACGCACTCAGGAGGCAGCTGATCGATGCTGTAGCCTTGAAGACGGAGTAACCAAGGTAGACAACCAGAAACCTGCCTTTTGGGGAGGACCCAGGGTCAGAATCACATCGTCCACTACGACCCACATGACCATGCCTGTCTGTGGTGTTCCAAACCAGGCACCCGCATTCGTACATACTTTTTCTGTCCTGGGGGGGAGTCAAAGCCTTTTTTACACCCGAAAGAATGCTTCAAGGCATTCCATTCAGTATAAAGGTCTTTAATCCCCAAGACCATGTAAATAGGAACAGTGTAAATAGGATGTACTAGTACTCGTGGTTGTTGTGATTTTTTGTTGTATTTTCTTGTCTATGTTACATTCACATTGGATCTAATGTCTCAGCTGTCAGACACCTACTGACTTGAAACTTGCCAGGATTATTGATGTTTGAGTAAGGAATACACACTGCAAATATGGATGCTCTGAGATCAAAGGTTGGCACTACAACTAAAGGTAAAAGGAAAATTGTTTTGTGTTGTTTATTACCAAAAAATAATAATAAACCGAGTTGTTTTTCAGCTTTTTTTGTGAACAAACACTTTTTTATATACCTTTCCTTTTATTATTTATCTATTTTCTGAGTTCATTTCTGAAAAAAAAAAGATGTATAACATGCATGGGTTCTGACAGTGAGGAGTGAATAAAGTGCATGTTGTAAACCGTGGTGTCTAACTTTTACGAGTGGCTGTCTTGAGCCTCCTGTGCGTGAAAAAAATGCTCCATATTGAAAGAGTTAACAAGGACCATACAACTGAGACAGTTGGCGGTGTAAAGGTAAAACTACAAGGTTTTTTTATAGGGGACGCTTTTCGTACATTGACAATACTTGGCGGTAAGCGGGGCTGGCGGTACAACGAGGTTTGACTGGATATATCAGTTCAACGTCTAGCTAAGCACATATCAGATCTAACAATTGTGCACAAGAGAAAAAGAATTGTCCATCTCCACTCTTGGTCAATGCTTATTTATTAACTAATAAATAGGAAGCAAGTCACTTTGTAACAAAAAGACTTTCATATACACAATTTATACAATTTCAAATTTCATTATTACAGACATATTTGCACAGAAAATTGATTTACAAGCTCATTTTCTAAACAGACTGACCACAACTCTTTTCTGGTTAGTGACTCTTAGAGACAAGCTTTAACTCTTTATCTCCTGAAAGCCGCTCCCTTTACGACGACCTCGACATCAAATTACTTTGTGGAAAATGCCCAAAACATGTCTCTTTTACCAGAAATTCATTCATTAGATGAAGAACTATCAAAATAGGTTTCCTAATTTCGATTTAATGACGTTTTTGTTATTTTTAGATTTAGCACCACAAAAAGGGCCCCGGCATAGTGGGTTTACCCCCCTCGGAGATAAAGAGTTAAGGCAGGCAACTGTGAGGCACTCTGAGGGACAAGTGCATGTGTAACAGTGTCCTCTGTCGCCATGTGTACAACTAGGTAAGGAGAAGATGAAGACTGTTTTCTTGACTACGAAGTACTGGATACGAAGCGTTCCACAGAGATCTCACATATCAAATGTAGCGCCAAGTAAACTCCAGACGCCGACAACAACTGTTAGAAGAAACAGAGTAATAATAAAATGTTTTTTTTAAATCAAACTTCACCTGGAATATAAAACAATTGTCAATGTCATAGGAAAAATAATAATAATAATAAATAATAATAAATTGCATTTATATAGCGCACTTCCACAAAGAAGTGCTCAATGTGCTGAAATGAGTAACTATAACTAAGTATTTGTTGCTCACTCTGCTTAGCAAGGTCAAACAGAGTAACATATTTTTCCTGTAGCAGTAATGTATGAGCATCAAATTTTGACTTTACTCGTTTAGGGCATTCTCTGTCAGAGCAAAAGGAAACTGATCAGTATATAGGCTTATTAACCCTATCCGTACGTCATGTTTTACTATTGTATCCATACGACGTGGGGAACTCTGTGCCACCACTTTCCAAAGAGGAAATTTACTCGTTAATCCGATCCGTACGCTTTACATAGCAGTCTAATAAAATGATATTTTGAGAAATACTGAAAGTTTCAAAGAGAATATGTGAAGAATACAACCAATGGGGGTACAAAATGACCCCAGGGCATACAGATATAGAGTTAAATATCTCTCCCTCTCAGGTCGAAACATAGGATAAATGAAAAAATACAATGTATGGGGTCAAATAAACAAAACGCCTACTTTGGGTGGTAATAAAAATTATGAAAAACCTTTCACAAAAGGATCATAGATAATTGTATGGGTTTAATGCCCCTTTCAACACTTTATGAACAGCTGAACTAAAATAAATTCAAAACAATACCATACCATATAAAAGAAACACAACATGTACCCCTCAACTCTCAACCAACATCTCAACCGAATTGGAGTAAAGCAGTCTCCTGCCTGCCCACTATGTGACTACCCCTCAGAGACAGTGGAACATCATCTGTTCTTCTGTAGAAAACTAACTGATTTAAGGGGATGTTTTCTTCCCAAGCTACCCCACACATCCAATTGCCTCTACTCCTCATTACAACAATTAGAACAAACATGCAACTATTACCGAATGGCATCATGCAGAAGAGTTAACGCTCAGATGCTACTGGATCGCTAACAACAACAACAACCATATAAAAGATCATCTTGACACTGCCCAGGACTTTTCATTCTTTTTTAGCTACAGGTCTCTGCATAACAACATTTTTAAAAATGTAATGAAAATTTTCAATACATAGTGTTACAGTGTGTAGAAAAAAAAAAGAGTTCACATTCGAAATACCCCTACATTTTTCTCCAGACTCAGTAAAATTTTCCGGGGACCAGTCATATTCAACAAAATAATACTTTTAATTTGAGATGCAAAACTGAAAACATATGGTACCAAACTCAGATTTTATACAGACATACAGAGAAAAAAAAGACTGGATGCACATACCTTTAATTTGCCAAGGTTTGACACATACGCAACAGGTGTCCCAACTTCTGATAGACTCATTTTCTGAAGAAGAAAATGGGTATTTGTAAGTTCATAGCAACACAGATCATTTAGACAGCCGTTCTCAGGTGATTTGAAATGTTTTAACACTCCCATCCACATAATTTAACCCACAGGGTAAAAGATCAAGGGGAAGACCACGTGGAACCTGGAGAAGAGTTACGGAAATGGATGTACAGAAAAGTGGGAAAACGTAGAGTTACATCAAGCGACTCGCCCAGGATAGAAAAAGGTGGAAAGTGCTTCTTCGTGGCCTATATCCTGATCCAGGGTGAAAAAGGCAATGATGATGAAGATCCAAACAATTTATTAGATCATTACGGAGCCAGGCTTCTTTGCCTTTTCTGTCAGGGACAACCTTGTGAAAGTGGAAAAACTACTTCCCAGCAGACAGAGATACAGTGGATATTGTCCAAGACGGCCACCCATTGTCAAGGAGATAGTGCTTGTCTTGCTAGACATCCAGGAAAGTGTCATTATAATTAGTTTTAGTAAGAGTTTTATGGCCCTCGCATCTGCAGAAAGTCATACGAGCGCCAGAAGATTACAGATGTTACAAGAGAGTAATAAACATAAAAAAGAAGAAGGGGAGATAAGGACGATAGATGTTTGATAGGAAAGAAGAAGCAAACCACACCAGAGCACCCGCCAACCACCCACTGCCTTAGACAGTTTGACATCCTTGAAAGTCGCATTATAATATAAAGAAAAAAAACAGAAAAAGGGAAGTGGGTTGTTATGCCCGTTTGTAAAAAAAAAAAAGTGATTGTTTTAGACAGGTGACTGTTAGAGCAGGCTGGCTTGACTGTACTCAAAAGAAATAACCTCCCCACTTGACAAAAAACTTTTTTTTCTTTTTTTAGTAGAGGGTTTTACGGCGCTCGCAACTGCATACGGTCATATGAGCGCCAAGGGGTGGGTGTCAACAGAGAAGTCTTTACAGGGAATCAGACTTACTCTGCTCACCAATCTAGCTTCAACAGCACAAAGTCTGCTTCGACTATCAAGGCACCCTAGAAATAGCACTGCCCCGGGGGTGAACGAGAAATGTCCCCCTTTGGGAATGGCCTAAAGACACTACAGTCAGTGGCACTGCCGCGGGGGGGTTGACAACAAACTAATGTCTTCTGTTTGTAACAAAGCAGAGCATGACTATTACAGCACAGATGCCCATGCCAGACATTTGTTTCATTATAGTTTTAAAAAAAGAAATGATATGCCAGTCTTCAAAGCTATTTTGTACTGGATTCAGCCTATGAGAACAGATTCGGTTCTGGTTGAGATTTAAACACTTCCTGCAGATGGGACAAATTCTTACATAGACGCGAAAATTTGCTGAATTCCTAAATGAATATGCCCTTTCTAAGCAAATAGCAGTGAGTGTTTGCTTTCGCTCACTTTGCATTTTGCTGCACACATTCCAACTTACACTGAAGTATATTGACATGATGTATTCCAGATGACTCTCCAGTGCTTCGACAAACGTGTTCACCTGCGACTCATCCATTTCCTCCCTCGACGAGGCATCTCCGTGAAGTCTTCAACAAGGAGAAGAGGAAAGAAGTTTACAATAATAATAATAATAATAATAAATTACACTTTTATTTGTCCCAGAAGGGCACTTTGTTTTACAATGGCAAACATACATACATAAATGCATAATTATAAATACGCACATACATAAATATTTACATGCATAAATACATACATAAATACACTCTATTGCAAAAATACAAAACAGTTTACAAACAATGCCACTGCAAGTCACCACTATGCAGCTCCCTGTATTTTGAGCTAGGGTTGTCGTGTCTTGCTCAAGGACACACCCCAGTGACCACCCATCCGATCCTCGTGTCACAGACACTTGTTTGACATTTCACAAGTCAAAACTCACTACTCACTTAGCCACTGGAGCCCCCCCCGTGGGATGAAATTTTAAAATAATAATAGCCACATTTCACAAGGAAGCAAATAAAAACCTTTTTAAAAACTCACATAAATCGTAGGCCCAGAGTACAACTGTCGTATGTCCACGCACTCCGGTTTTGAGAAATAAGCCTTCAAAGTTTGAGATGGCTCCTGATTCAAATCAATCACCAACTCATTCATCTAACTGTTACCCATTGTGTGTATAATTAATGTTTCAACTTTATAAGTTTTCACAGATTGCTGTTTTCCTGTGGAATTGAGAAACACGTTTTTGTTTTAAGAAAACCCAGTTTTCTCAAAAATTGAACTGAATGCCTAAAAGTACAAATGTTGTATCTCCATATTACGTTATAAATCTCCATAATCTAGTCTAATTTCAAGGCTAAGTCACTCGCCTGCAGAGCAGAAGGTCCTCCTTGGCTCAAATCCCATGGGGAGACGATATGAAACCCAAAAAAAAAACCCAAATTTTTTTTCAGAGGTTCAATGGGCTTTGATACCTGGCTCGCATGAAGTCAATGTTCTAAGGCAGACTGATGTTGAAATTTGAGATGGCATCTCTCAAATAACCCCACTGTGCTGCAAGGGAGGTAAATCTCAAGTAACGGTCATTCCAGTTGCAAGGGGGACACAGGAGTCCCCCCACCCGTTGTCCCATGGCCACCTGGTGATCTTACAGCTGCACTACTACATGTAATCTCTCTCATTTGACCTTATTGTGCTATGAAACAAAAACTTTTCTGTCTCGTCCAAACAAAAACTAAATAGGCAAAGGACCATTCAGGAAGCAGACCACTTCAAGCCTGCCAGTCGGGGTCAACCCATGCTGTGGGACAAAGCATCACAGTATAAAGACAAAGATACTTGATATAATAAATATACCCACATGGGAATCAAACTCATGTCTTTTGCAAGCTATGTCAAAGATCCTGTTGGTTACAACAAAGGGGTATGACTGACAAATGTATTTCCGCTGACAAACCAATCACCAAGATACTCACTCACCTTTCCCACAAATCTTTACAAAAGTTGGAGTCAAGTTTACAGTCAATGGTGCTGATGCCCAGATCCTCAGCGATGTTCTTCAGGGAGTATTGCATTAGTACAGGAAGAGTCTTTGCAGCTGGAATATAATATGTTTTTAAAATTTTATCCTGGTGGGAAACTTTGTTTCACATTGGTATACAAACATTCAAATGATAATTTATAAATGTAACATAATAAACACCATCACATCAGAAGAGACAATTTTGCACACAAACCATTGCTGGTTGCCACTATGCAGGATCTTGTTTTTTTAGCTGAAATTGTCTAGTCGTGTTCAAAGCCACACCGCAGTGGACGTCAACACAAACGCCATTACCGAAATATGCTTTTTTTGTAAACCTCGGCTCACTAACAACTCAGCCACTGACCAAGGATTGAGTAAAAGCACTTCCTACAAGCATACATCCACAAGTATTCAGGTTTTTAAAGTTTTAGTGAGTGTTTTACTGCACTTGCAATACAATACAGGCATATAAGTGCCGAAGATTAGTTGTTACAAGGGAGTAACAAACACAAAATAGAAGGAGGGGAGATAAGGACGATAGATGTTTGATAGGAAAGAAGGAGCAAACCACACCAGAGCACCCGCCAACCACCCATGTATTGAGGTTTAGTAAGATATTTCATGAACATATTTCCATTACATCTGTACTGTAAATGTGAAAGGCTGAAGGTAGTGTTGGGAGAGACTAGTCACAAATCATCAATGTAATAGACACGTTACATAATAAAATAAATACACAAGAATAGAGGAGGTATAAGGGTGTCTGTCAAATAAAGTATGTACTTTAAAAAGTTTTAGTAAGTGCTTAACGGCACTTGTAACACAATAAGGTCATATAAGTGCCGAAGATGAGATGTATTACAAGAGAGTAAACAAACAAAAAAGAAGAAGGGGAGATACGAGCGATAAATGTTTCATAGGAAAGAAGAAGCAAACCACACCAGAGCACCTGCCAACCACCCACTGTCAGACAAATAAAATATGCATACACTGAATGAGAGTATACAGGCATTTTTTTTAAAGTATGTTTTGCATGGGAGATAATATATCGACAGTAGATTACGATTTGCATAGGTCCCAGCACTGGAATGCAGTGACAAGTTGTGGATTGGCACAGAAAGAGTTCAGGAACATTTTTAAAGTAATAATAATAATAATAAATAGCATTTGTATAGCGCATGTCCCCACTCGAAAGCCAGCTCTATGTGCTTCACACTATATTATTATACTTACCACCCTTGTGGTTCTCGGGGCCCTGTCCAAGAGATAGGGGAGCAAAGAATAGAACCACTGTATCCGTACCGAGCATGTCGTAGAAGGCGACTAAGGTCGGTTGGGAAAAGGGTTAGCAGCCCTTTCCCGTAAAACAAAAAGCAGCTACAAAAACAACAGCAAAAACACCACGACCGCCAGTTCTGGAAGATGGCGAACCTTCATCACCGAGGAGAGGAGAGAATATGGAGAGTAGAATGACGCAGGGTGGTGAAAACCGAAAGGAAGCCACCAAGCCGAGAAACTTCCTGTCGACCAGAAGAACCACCAGACTTGGCACCTGGAATGTGCGTACAATGTACAAGGCAGGGAAAGCACTGCGGGTTGCAAGAGAGATGGAGGCCTACCAACTGGACATATTGGGTCTCTGTGAGACGAGATGGACGAATGCAGGGGAGTGCCAACTTGCTTCAGGGGAAACAGTTCTCTACTCTGGACATCTGGAGGAAAACTCGCTGCATACAGAAAGAGTAGGTATTCTGTTATCAACACATGCCAAGCGGGCTTTGATAGGATGGAAAGCAGAGGGCCTGCGACTAATAAAAAGCGGGGACATCATGGAAACAGATAGAAAAGGATGCTCGGGACAGGCTTCGCTGGAGTAATGCTGTTGATGGCCTGTGCTCCACTGGGAGTTAAAAAGGGCAAGAGAGAGAGATTATACTTACGTTGCCCTTGACTGCTCCACATGGCAAGCATCCACCGCATGTCATTGTCATGGAAACCGAGTGGAGCAGCATGACAGTCAAAATGCCTCTGAGGAAAAGATTATAAATGTTTTACACCCTTAATGACGTAATTTAGATCATTATATGAATTTCAGTTGCTGCCACAGCATTAATTCTTCCCTCGTTTTTCACATGGATCAGAAAGCTCCAGACTTGTATACCCTTATAAAATATATCGAACATACAGGTGAATAAATATTACAATATATGTTATGCTGAACCATAAACTGTGCCTTCATCTCCTTCATTAAGATAAACATCTTATCGCTGTTATAATATGTGTCATGACGTGGTGGAATCAGGCGCTCGTCAATTTTTGGGCATATGAAGTTGTTCGTTTCATGTTAAAGCCTGTCCATTTGCCTAGCTTTTAATGGAAAAAATATCCATTTATCTTGGATACAAGTCAAGACATAAAATTTGCGAGAAAATGGCTGCCAAAGCTGCATTATTTCCTCAGCTTGAGAGTCCGTGGAAACTGAAAATTTACATATTGTATGCCTTTAATCAACGTTTTAAAGTAAAAATCAACACAGAAATTTGCTTTTTAATGGGTGCGAAAGGTGTTGAGACAGAAATTTCAAAATACAAAAATTCGAAAAAAATTCCCAAACCTGCAGAAAAATGTCAATTTCTTCACTTTCATTAGATTTCACCACACTGCCTCACATATATTCACATAAACTGTTGCTTTCTCACCATAAAAAAAAATAATTAGAAAATCTATTACTATTATACTCCAACACAATGAATTGAAGAAAAAAAATGCTGGTCCTCTCACTTCAAGCCATAAGAGAAGAGTCTCTGATCTCCCCTTGTTGCCGCACATCAGGACCACAGGGTAGTACACAAAATGGCTGCTCAGGTCCTCAGAGACGGGACTGTGGTCAACGTCCACACACATTAGGACCGCAGTGAGTACAATAGTGTCCCCACTTCCTGTTGCGGGGAGAGAATTTAATAAAACCTTACAACCAAACTAAGGGGAAAAAAATACAACTACAAAAACATAGTGATCAAACCTATTTTTAAAGAATAGATGAAGTGTTGCAACCTTAGTTGTTTTATCTTTTTTTTCTTTTTTCGTAAGAGTTTTACGGCATTTGCAACACAATATGGTCATTTAAGTGCCGAAGATTAGAAGTGTTACAAGGGAGTAACAAACACAAAAAAGAAGGAGGAGAGTTAAAGACGATACATGTTTGATAGGAAAGAAAGAGCAAACCACACCAGAGCACCCCCAACCACAATCTTAGTTGTTTACAAAGGAATTCTACAATATAAGATGCTGAATTGACCAGACACAAATATATACAAAAAGAACAGAACATAACAGCGAATGAAGTTCTTTTAAAAAATGCTACCAAACTCCTTTTCTTTAAAATCTTATCTGTCTAATCATTATGCACTGACCGACCAGCAGGTTAGAACTGCCCCCCCCCCCCCTCCACGATCAACCCAATTTTCATCATTCAGGTCAAGAGCTGATCCAACCCTGTCTCTCGCAAGGGCAAATCTGGGCAAAAGTGGAATGCAGTGCCCTAGGAGACAGAGGAAGATAATACTGTATAAAATAACTTCCCCGGCAAGAATATAATCGTGTCTCCTGCTGATACAGCAAAAAGCCTAACCATTACACCACGAACGGGGGTCATTTTCTGCTTAACCCTATATCCATACACCCTGGGGTCATTTTGTACCCCCGGGGTAGCATTCTTCACATTTAGAATACTTCTAGTACGAATATCTCTTTGAAACTTTCAGTATTTCTCAAAAAATCATTTTGACAGATTGCTATGCAAAGCGTACGGATCAGATTAACAAGTAAATTTCCTCTTTGGAAAGTGGTGGCACAGAGTTCCCCACGTCGTACGGATACGATAGTAAAACACAACGTACGGAGTGTTAACCAAAAAAAAACAGTTGCAAGACACTAGTGGGACACCTACCAGACTTGTTCTTTTCAACCACCTGAATTCTGACAGCTTCCGGGTCATCTGTACAAAAGAGGAAAAGAAAGAAATGGAATAAAAAATTAAAAGTTACCTAACTTTAAAAAAGACAAACAAAATATAAGATAAGGTAAAACAAACAGCCTTCTGTTTACACAGACAGCAAAAATATAATTTTTTTTAGACTAAACTTTAAGATGGATTTACCACTCAGTCCTGACAGTGCGTGTCTGAGCTCAGGTGTAGTTGCAACAATCACTACCCTTACGCATTCATTTCAAACATACATGCACTCTCCCATTCAAATTATTTATATATAGAAGAATATGCACACACATCAATCCACAGACACCATCACATCCTACTCTTCAGAGGTGTTTTAGTTTTAGTAAGAGTATTACGGCACTTGCAACACAATAAGATCATGTGAGCACAAGAAGATTAGAGGTGTTACAAGAGAGTAACAAATATAAAATAGAAGAAGGGGAGATAAGGACGATATATGTTTGATAGGAAAGAAGGAGCAAACCACACCAGAGCACCTGCCAACCACCCAACAGAATCTGTTCTTCTTACTCTACAAACACATGAGCCGAAATACACACACAGAAAATTTTACAGTGAATTATTGTGCCAGACAAAATACAAATCAATCCTACACCCCTGAGACAACACTTTTCACAAACTCACTTTCATGGGTGCTTAAACCTGGGTAGACACTAAAGTAGCTCCGGACAGGACTATTCTCAGCCGGATTCAGATTGCTCTGTTGAAGGAAAAACAAACATTGATTAGTTCAATGTAAATCAATAAATCCTGCTGGAAGGCGAACTGTTACTGGTGATTTAAAATAGTAAAATACACAAAAAAATATGATGTACAACATAAAAAGCATGGATTCCTGGAACTGAGCTCATCATCTTTGCAAAATCTTTTTCATTGCATTGACTTTTCGTGATATTTGAAACGAAAAAAAAAAAATTTGACTAGAGCAAAATACTTAGCTGAAGTAGGCTCAAATAAAGTAAACATGATGCTGTGGTTTAGTTCAACTTTCTCTCACTAATTCCACTTCCTTTAACTCCTACACTGATACATTTGTTCAGCTCCCTTTGACCTTCATTCTCTGCACGCTAAGAGCGGGCGTGAGACGAGCCGGGTACTCGTTTCTCGAGAGAACAGACCTTCCCGCCACTGCCTGGCCACTAAACTACTGGCCGGTACCGAGAAGTGATACAGCTCGTTGACATAATGAGTAACGAGAGTGAGAGGCCTCAACGGAAAGAGCAGCACAGCCAGCTAGAAATGACACGCAGACAGTTGCACCCATCACCGTGTCGTCTTGTGTCTGAAACTGAAAGGGAGGGGAGAGGGTGGCGAGGCGAGTGGGGGACCTTACCGTCTTATACTGTAGGCCTATAACCTCCTTTGCTTAAGTCTCCCCACCTTCCTCTGCAACACATCTTACCAGAAGAACCTTTACATAAATTTGGCTTGCCTCCATGCAATTCACTTTTAAGTTTTAAAAAAAAGTAAACCACATAATGCAATTCTGCTCAGTCCAGGATAGCAATTCTTGACCATTTTCACCTATTTATGACTACATGTAGAAAAACAGCGGCAAACTTTTCTGACTAGTCACCTCCTCTACTCTTTCTTCTCCACTTCTAATTCAGAGTTCAACAAAGTGATTTCAGCATTCCAGACATAGAATTTGCGTTCATTTTTTTAAACAGAAATCAGAAAAGTATATTACACCCACACTAATACACCATAATCAAAATAAATTAATCACATCACGACTGACCTGAGAGAAAGCAGCATCAAGGGACCGAGAATACTTCTTAAATACCGCATCACCGCGCTTGAAATTGTACAATGGTGAAAGACTGAAGAGCTTCCAGGACTTTTTTAGAAGACCTGGACGTAGAAGAGGAAAACATACGCTCATGAGCACAGGGACATCTAAAGGCCCTTGATGAAAAAGTTAAAAAGCTGCATGTCCCTATCAACACAATTTAAATTATTTAACACTTTGCCGCCTCATCTCGTCGATCAGCGATGTCTACCACTCAGTTTCTTTGGATTTTACCCAAAATGTCTTTGCCTTTGATGGCAAGAGTTTTTACTATATAAATATGAGCCTTGTGGTGGCAAAGTGTTAAGAGGTTGGTTTCTCCAAACTTTTCTGCCAGGGCCAGCCTTGGCTTTGGAGGACATGGCATCCCAGCCTACGAGGCCCCGAACTCCCGTCACCTGAACACAACAGCAAAGAGCCTAACGAGAAAATAGTCTGTAGTTTTAGTAAGTGTATTGCAGCACTTGCAACACAATAAGTGCCGAAGATTAAAGGTGTTACAAGAGGGCAACAAACACAAAAAAGAAGGAGAGATAAGGACGATAGATGTTTGATAGGAAAGAAGAAGCAAACTACACCAGAGCACCCGCCAACCACACACAATAGTCTACTAGTTAAAAGACATAACGTCAGTCTACAAGAGTATGAGAATGGCAATTCACTGGCAGCTGTCAACTATGATTACAAAAAAATAACAGATGAGACATTGTTACCTTCAAAATTCAGACTATCATCTCCTTGTTTGCCAAATTTTCTTGTACTAGCTGTGGAAACATGGAAACATAAACATTTTTTAGACGTTATAATTTTTTTCTTTTTCAAAACCAGTCATGTACGGGACAAACTTCACGGAAAGTTCCTAGATCCCGATGCAATTTGTACTAACACAAAGTACAAAGCTTAGGTGTAAAAAGTAAAGTTCCCGCATCCGATCCGGACATTGGGGAATACCTTGTTAGTGAGACAACTTCCTGGGCATTCGGCATATTTTGGTAGGGAGTCCAGTTCCTTTCCATGCTGCCTTTACTTCCCCAACTCCAAGTCAGGTACCCATTACTGCTGCTAGTTAGGTGTAGGCGGTATATTTTAATACAACAACACATGTATGCTGGCGTCTTGTCGCACACAGTCAGTTTTTCCAGATAAGAATGAGACTAAGATGAAGGCAACACATCGTTTTATATAAATGGTTTTTTATCTCCTCCCTTGTAGCGGTTGGGTAAGCAGACTGAGAGTGCTTCAACCCTGGCAAAGGTGGATGTTCTTTGATACTTGGCAGATGCCCCCCCTCCCCCCCAAATAGCTTTTAAACAATGCTGAGCAAACATTGTAGGGGGGGGGGGGGTCCAAAGGAAAACCAAAAACGGCGGCAATAAAAACAATAAAAACACTACAATACTATACTGTTTTGAATCGTTAATAGATTCATAAAATCTACGGTCACTGTAACTTCTTTGTCTATTACAATTGTCTATTTTTGACTTTTGGTGAAATTGTTGTTCATGTCCTAGCTGAAGAATTTCATTAAATGTAAAAGAGAACCAACTGATCATTTAGCAAAAGAGTTGAATTTTTTATTTCCAGTCACCTGAGCTGAAAAGGGATCTTGGATGAACAGGTAGCCTAACCTGTTGTGTTACAGCAGAGACAGGCTTGTACAGGGAGGGTAAAATCCTTCTCTTTCAAATTCAAACTCATTAGATTAGAAGTACAATTATATTGCACTACAAAAATTCAAGAAATACATTTTAATTCTGAGTGGCATTTATAATTTATATAAGAAATGAATGAGCAGTGAGAAAAAAGGCTTAAGACAATATCATCACCAGGGAAAGTGCAAAAGACTTGTTGTAGTCCTACATCATGAGCAGAGTATAATAAAATAACTGCTCCAAATAACCTATTTTATTGGCTCAATACTAAAAATCCTTGTTATACTGAGCTTTTTTCAATGTGAGTGACCCATTTTTCACAAACAAATTTGTGAACTATGGGAATGATCTTTCGTGATGGAACTGGGCACAGTGTTATACATCAGGTGAGGATTGACCTACAGTTCTTTGCAGAATTCACAGTTTGGGGAAAAGTATACTCTTGACCAACCATTGCTAATAATAGAGGTAAAAGTAACAGTGAAGACTTCTAAACTGACATGCATGCAAAATTTTAAAATTTTTTAAAAACTAATTAAATTTTAACAGTTCAGATCTTAATATTCATGTATCTAAAGCATTAAAATCAACCACCACCCGAGCAAAATTCAAAATGTCCTACCAACTGAAAATGTTTGGTGTGTCCTGCGCACTCATATGACCTTATGCAGTTGCGAGCACTGTAAAACATTACCAAAAAAAAAAAAAGCATTAAAAGCACAAAAGGTGACCTTGTTAGCAGGAGTTCGTCAACTATATTCAATCTAAAAAAGATTTCAACATACCAACAAGCCTGTGGCTACGAGGAGTATCCAGACCAAGCTTCCGGGCTGGGGTGTGAAGTCTGCATGAATAAGCTCCTGTATGCACCGGCCCTCTTGGCCTTGATGAAACTACAATGCTTGCTGGTGTGCTCTCCATTTCAATTCATCTCGCCAGTTCTTAGCCTATTAATGAAAAATTGATATTTCATTTAAAAGCAAAACGTAACACAAGACATCTAGGCATACAAATCTGAAATAAAAGAAAAGGGGGAGATGATGAAACTTCTAAATTCAATGAAAAACGAAAAACCCCATCGCAATATTAAAGAACTTTTGTGCACTCATCTAAGCAGAACTAGAGAAAGGTAAAAGCCGTTAGTCGATAGTAGAAGAAAGTAAAGTAGGCCAAGTTTAGATCAAATGAATGCAAGTCTCTTAAAATTGTCTAACAAATTAAAAAAATTATAATTCTCCAGTTAGTATAGAGAGTAAGTACTGTATTGAGCAGTCAATGTGTCCTTGGGAAAGGTACTTTTTAAATTTTTACACAAATTTCCTCACTTCGCCGAAAGATGGGAACGGGTACCCAGCTGCAGACACCGAAGGTTTTGGTCAGTTTGAGTAGTGTGGCATTGTTTTTAAAGTAGTGGTTAACACTTTGTCATCATATTTTGGTGAAAATCCAAAGAAACTGGGTGGTAAACATCGCCAATCGGCGAGATCAGGCGGCAAAGTATTAAAGCCTTAAAATCAGCTGCTTACACTGTACTGTACTGTAAAATATTTATTCCAGGAATGGAAGCTGATCAGTGATGTGTCCACCCTGGTCAAAATCAGTCGTAAGACCCAATTGCTATTTGGAGCTACGAGGCTCGAAATGCTAAAACGTGACTTTCCATTAAATTTTTGTTTTTTTAAATTTATAGAAAGTCTGATGCCTTCTGCTTCATATAAGATCAAAATAAACAATTAAAATTGACTGTCATTATTCTATTTAGATTTAGATTTATTTTGGAGGTGTGTGTGGTTTGTTGTGAGCTTGGGTGACAAGAATTTAGAAAAAGGAATTTGGACCTCAAAACCCTTTCGAACATTTGACCTGCTGGTCCAGTGTGTAGTTGTGAGATTATTTGAGCCATTGCCAAAACGTGACGAAAAACACACACATCTCACAATAGTGTGCATAAAATGTGATGCATTAGTATTTATTCCTCCAAAACGTATACACATGTCAAATATAGGATGTAGAACCTGCATTAGCAGTTTCAGACCCTATGTCAGCTTTATAATCTTGAGTTTGTAAATTTTGTGCCCAAAATGTTCGTTTTTTAGTGATTCCTGGAGTGTCATTTTGAGCACACCAATGCAAACTTCCAAGAATGTCAAAAATTTAGTATTTTTGGGTGTTTTTTTTAAACCTGTGCTTTGATTCTATGCTATTTGTGATCGAGAAAGGTTCACTTGCTCAAGAAATCGGTTTATTTGTTTGCAAATAAACGAATAATTCGGATCACTTGTGCGTCAGGGGTGTCGTCACGGACTAGGTGTTTCAGAAAACACCATTATTTTTCAGTAGAATCACCGCTGGTTAAATCTTTTTGCCTATCGTCGTTTATTCAATAGTTCAAAAGCCGCGATGCGCGAATGGAACATCGGGTTCCTAGATCTACGATTTCGGTCGGCTGTTTAACATTCACCGTTAATGGCGTCACTTTGCGATGTACCGGAAGTCCGAATTTTAGCCTACTTTTGTTTTGAACGGGTCATCAACAGTGCCCGGATATAATTGTTTTCTTGAGTGACTTCCCCTTACCCGCTTCCCCAGAACAGCGGGAGCAACGGGGTAAAGAGAAAAACGAAAGTAGTCATTGCCGTCACCCTCCGGTTACGCACAAGAATCTTGCATCGAATGTGACGTGCTGGACTGTTTTGCGTGTTTTTAGGCTACCCTATTGAATATTTTAGTGAAATTGTGGTGTTTACATTGGATTCCTGGAACAAGAGTGTGATGTGTGAACAAACTTCGAGAGATGAATCATTTCTGTGGTTATAGATTTAGCTTTTGTGCTTAGTGATGACGTTTGGGGTGTCGTCATGCAGCCGTACAAGACTGACCGACGTACTAAAAATTACACTGTCCTAAGAGCAAACATTATTTAAGTCATGTGTGCTCTTTTTACTCAAACAAATAGACAAACATGTCCTTGTTTATCTGTCTAACTCAAAAGTACACATTTGTTCTTTGTTGGCATGATATGCCTTTTTCCAATACATTCTGTCATCATTGTTATGTACAAGTAATATTTTTCATAATTGCTAATATCAATAAGTTTTCAACATATATTTCATACATGCAAGATTCATTTAGAAACAAAATACGCCTTTATTGATCTGTGAATCTCATAGTGCAAATTTGTTCTTTGTAGGCATGATTTTACCTTTTCCCAGTATGTTTTGTCATCACTGTTATGTACGAGTACTCTTTGTCATAATTAGCAACGTAATTGTGATTGTCTACTGTCTTTGATATGACCTGGTATCTGTTTCAAAGCAAAAGAAACCTCTCCTGGGTTTTTTTATTCTTAAAGTGCGCTTTTCTCTCTGGAGACAAGACTTTTTGTCTTTTCCTGTACATTGTGTCATCATTGTTATGTACAAGTCATCTTTGTCATCACTGTTATGTACAGGTTAGCTCAATTGATTTTGTTGCTTTTGCCTCATATTAGTTTAAAAATTGTTTTATGTGTTTTTCTGGTACTGAGGCTTTGATAACTGTATTTGTACAGCCTTTCACTATTGTGATGTGTTGTTAATGATAATGTCCAATGTGTATCCTTTCTTGTACATAACAATGATGACATGTTCTGTGCACTGCATCATTGTTACAAAGCTTGTCATTCATATTACCATTATGAATGGAGTCCATAGTGTACGAAGTCTTTGTTTACTAAACAAATGGAATTTAAAGTCCATTATTTGCCTTGCTGCTTATCTGTTTTTGTCATCACTGTTACATACAAGAAATACAGTAGTTACCAAACCAATAGACCCATATCTCCAAAACCGTACGTCTCCTTGCTCTGATACTTTAGGAATATGAGCACTAAATGCCAATCTGTGACTGACAGAAAAGAGAGTCAAATTGGTAAGAAAATTTTTTTTGCACTACTGAGTCTCAAGAGAGTCTCACGTTTTGGCAATTGCTCATTTATAATAGAATCTAACTGTTAGAACCATTACCCCATGGCCTACTCGCTTCAATGTCCTTCATCCGCCCCTATTTTTAGATTTAGACCCCTTTTCGAGCATGAATGGTCTGAAATGTAAACAACTTGGTGTCACTATCAAGAACAGCTGAGAGTTCTGATTGGTTAAACGGGGCATATACTCTTGCCCCCCTGAATTTTACCATAATTTGATGTTTTGCAGTTAGGTTGCATCCCTGTTCTTTGTGTTGCCTAGGCTATTTGGTCATCAAGACTTCAGGATTTCTTCTCTGGATGTAAACAAATGGATTGTGGACTTAAACAAAAGAAACTTCAAATTCAAGGTGAAGATCACTGCTTAGCCTTCAGCACACACACACTAGACTCTAGATCTAGGCTATGGAAGTGGCTATTCTCACCCCGGGTGAGAATAGAAATACGATCTACCTCTCACCCCGGGTGAGACTTGCCAGCGTAGGCTATTCTCACCCGGTGTGAAACAAGACCTGTTTTTCCTCATTTTGGAATACTGTCTATCGGTGTGGATGATCAAATTGATAAAAGTCAAGAAAAAATTACATTATAGCACAAAAGTAAGCTAATTTGATCGTCTTCAAAGATGCTATGGCTATTTCACTTTTCGAATCAAGCCAAACTACGCGGGTCGCCATTTTGTTTTGCCCGGAAGTTCTCGCAAGATCTACTCCTCCCCCCTCTCTCTCTCTCATTGTCTCTTTCTGAACACTGTCTATCGGTGTGGACGATCAAATTGACCAAACCAAAGTTAAAAAATGATTTTAAACAAGAAAACTAAATTAATTTGGTTGTCTACAAAGTAGTGGTGGGCCAAGAATCGATTCCAGAACCGATTCCTGCGATTACTGCCTCTGAGAAAAAGAACCGATCCCTTTTTTCGTAAACTAACGATTCTCAATTACTCTATTTTTATCTTATTTTTTCTTCAAAGAATGTATTTTTTTTTTTTTATGTTGGTGCTTTGCTATTTTCTGAAATCGAGGTCCTGAATCTTGAAGACTTTAAGAAAAAGTAGTCGGGATGCAAAGTCATTGTCAAAGATTTATAAATATCGATCCAGTGTATACAGTGTCAAAATAAAAATTTGTTCGTTGCTTTCGCCTTTTTCTCTTTCATCTGTTGTTGTTTTTAAATTATAATAATTTTAATAATATTCCCCTCTTTCAATTCAAAATCTAAAACGTTAACGTCTGCCCACGAGGCTCTATATTATAGACTCATTTCTCGGTGTAGGTCAGTGTTGGTCTCTGACTTCATACGGTAGAGATTGGGTGGGGTAGTGCCTGGGGCAGCGCCCTCCCACCCCAAGTAATCAAAGAGGTCGGACTAACCGTTACTCGCCGGATGTAATTGCTGGGGTCGGACAACTCGTTACTCGCCGAAAGTAGTCATGGGTTCGCGACTCGGCGGAAATAATTGCTGGGTTCGGAGTAATTGCTACTCGCTGGAAGTAGTCATAGGTATCGCGACTCGGCGGAAATAATTGCTGGGTTCTGAGTAATTGCTACTCGCCGGAAGTAGTCATAGGTATCGCGACTCGGCGGAAATAATTGCTGGGGTCGGAGTAATTGCTACTTGCCGGAAATAATTGGAGGTGTCGCGACTAGCTGGGAGTAATTGCAAGGTTCGGACTAATTGCTCCTCTCCGGAGGTCATTGCAGGGGTCTGGCTAACTGCTAGTCGCTGCATATACAATCATAATACTGGGTACGGGTCGAAACCACTGGAAGAAATCATAGAGCCATTGGAAGAAATCACATCACTGGCTATAATTTATAAAGAAAGTAATTGGGTTCGGCGCCGATTCCTACGATTCCTAGCCTTTAATATTCGGGAATCTACGGTTACCGAAAAAAACAGAAATCGCCCACCTCTACTACAAAGATGCTACGGCTATTTAACTTTCCGAATCGAGCTGAACTACGCGGGTCGCCATTTTGTTTTGCCCGGAAGTTCTCGCACTACTTCTCTCTCTCTCTCTTTCTCCACTGCCCACTGACAAAAGTGCACGCTTTTAGGCTAACACTAACAGAAGTAATAGATCTAGACATCTAGATCTAGATCTATAACGTTTGTTCACAGCACAGAATTCCATAATTCTGTTATCACAGTGTAGAATTCTGTGGTTCAGGGTGAACGCTTACACTGGTTGGCCTAGGCTATAAAAACGGTGAACGCCCACCGGGTGAGAATAGCCAAAAGACACGCCTGCGCTATTGAGAATAGAGGTGGCCCTAGACTATACAAATACAATGAACAAATCGGTTCGGACACTTACTAATATTTACAAATACCTCAACTTCAAGCCACCATAAATTTGAAAAGAGATCTTTCACGCTGCTGTGATACTATTACTGGGAGCAACAAAACAACAGTCAGAGGAGTCACAGGCAATCAATGATCTTTGAGGCAATGCAGTTTCGTCGTTTGAAATTTTGCACTTTTTGTGTACAAATATAACCACTTCCGGTATTAGCAAAGATAGTACAAGACAAGATGGGCCACTCAGCCTAAAAAGTGTCCGCAGGAAGTATGCTCTTTGCTTCAGATGGCGCTGCAGTCTGTTTTGAAGCTCTCTTTCGTTTTTCCAGAAGAAGAATAGAAATAGCACCTCCTTGCGTGCGCAGATCGACTGCTGTTCATCAGCGGTTCGGGTACGTTCAGTGCGGAGTCTTGGGTTTTTAAAATTTTAATGACCTCTCGCCCTTCATTCTAAAGTCAAATTAAACGAAGAAAACCATCTCCTTTTCCTCCGGAAGAGGTTTTTTGTCAGCGTAATCATTTTTAAAAAGCGTTCTTCCGAAATTTATCCCAAAACTTGCTAGTTTCACTTTGATTTTTAAAAACTCAAGTAGGGTAACTCTGTTCGCAAAGAGTGCGCTTTTGTGAAGAGGGCGCCACCAAATTTTGAGGACACTTTTTTAATTGGCTCAAAGAGAGAAGTGGCCCATCTTGTTATGTACTATCATTGGTATTAGTCTTATCCATTATCTGCCCACAATGACAAATAACTTATTCACCTGCTGCCCTTTTCTTTCACTGTGTCAAAAATAAGTACCTGATACTTTAATTTAGCTGCTTTTTAAACGTTTTCATCTAGTCAGATCTTATAATGGAAGAAAACAAAGATAATTTTGACTTGATTCAAGTCTTTTGACACAGAAAATTCGACGTATTCCCCAAAGATCGCAGTGTACGATCTCTGGTTATTTGTAATCGTTTTGTGCAGGCAGTTAGATGTATAGTAGTTAACAGTCAGCAGTTCGTAAACAAACCAGCATGGTAATGATGGCATGGTTCCTTGAGCAGTGTTTTTGTTCTATTTCAATTTCACGAGTCTGAGTCCCGTCGGCACTTTATTTTTTTGTCCTCAGGTTTTTTAAAGTATTTCCAAAATGCCCAAACCTAAGCGCTATTTTGAGTACAGCGAAAAGAAGTCCTTCGGTGGGAAGCAGAGACATGACGATGGTGGCGGTGGTGAACACAATCCGTCCCGCGAGAGACGAGGAGTCCTCTCTGAGGAGGTTATGTCTTACTATAGACAAGTCTCCGCAACTTTAGAAACAGGTTTTGATGAAGATAATCCAGAAGTCAAAGGTAAGCTCTAATTTTGCAACCTCATACTCGTTGAAAGAATTAAATCTCTCTCTCTCTCTCTCTCTCTCTCTCTCTCTCTCTCTCTCTCTCTCTCTCTCTCTCCCCCCCCCCCCCCCCTCTCTTCTCTCTCTCTCAAATATTTCTTCCATGTTGATATGTCTGTTCCCATAACTTTATGATGATTCATTGTTTGTAGCTCTCTGTACCAGCCAAAGAGGAATCATTTTGTGATAGATTTTAAATGTTCTTGTTTCAGATCAGTTCCTGGCCAATGTTTTCTCTTCTTTGAAAGACGAGTGTGTGTCCGTGTCACAGAACCAGACTGTGAGCAAGATCCTGGAGGTTCTCCTCTCTCACAGTCCTGCCAGCCACATGCGCCCTGTGTTCTGCAAGTTCTGCAAGGAGCTCACCATTGTTGTATTTGATGCCTTCGCCAGCCATGTGTTCCAGGCACTCATCCAGTACTTACCGCTCATGTTTGTACAGAAGGACGAGGAAGATGATGAAGAGATGATCAAGCAAGTAAAAGTAAGTGTCGTGTTTGCTCTGTGCTGCCACATTTCGCAACCTAAGTGCTTTGTTGTCGCCTGTCCTTTTTTTTTAAAAGTGAAAGCGCTGGGGTCGCGATTTGTTTTTGAAAGCTCTTTTACACGTGATAAATTTTTCTGTTTAAATAGACGGGTAAAATCTGTGTGAACTCATTGTGGAGGCATGGAGGTCAAATTCTTAAATGTTTGTGTCTCAATGTGAGACTGTCCCATTCAGCAGTATTTGAATCAGCTACTCTAACAATAGTGAAGTAATATTCAATCTTAAAATGAATTCTTACTTAAATTCTTCCATAAATTTATTAAAATTACGTCTCCTTTGATTTTTAACAATGTCTAGTGATTTTGACTTTTTGGGTGCAAGCAAGGCTCTATTTATTTCTACCCATTTTCCCAATTGACTTATTATGGACCCATTCTTCTGCCATAGAAATATAAGAACATTTTTTTGAAGGGGGGATGCATTTGGACCGCTTGATACAGTAACAGGAGGATCAGATCTGAGAACCACATTCTTAGTATTCAATGATTAAAATGCTGTGCAGCGTAGCGCACCTACTCCTAATACTCCTATGTTGGAAACCTTAGGTGTGTATACATTAAATGATAGCTTGTCACTGCATGAAAAGATTGGCGATGAAAACTTGATCTGTGGTTGAGCATTTTTTTAGAATCAATACCCAGCCCATGATTCAAGGATTGCCAGATTTTCAATGTCACTACTTCCCATGCTCCCTCAGTTCTTCAAATATGCCATTCAGTACATGCTCTCTTCCAATGTCTTTAGATCCGGAGCTATTCATTTCATTGTTGAACTGCTAGCTTTAGATTGATTGGAGTCTCTTTTATTGTTATCTAGAATAATATTGAAGAATTATTATCTCCGCTGTCTATCTAAAAAAGAAGCTGCTAAGTGGCTTATTTAGCACTTTTTTGTTTCATCTTAAAGCCTTGAAAAAAAACAACAACTCTAAAACACACAGTAAACTTCTTTCAAATGCACTAATTTTAGAACACACATAGTTTTTCTTCCATTTCTAATGTCTCATGAAAGGCTGGACCAGATAAGAGAAGAAACTATTCTTTACTACAAAGCATGACCCCCAACATCTACTGAGAAGATGAACTACAGCAATGTCACAAATTCTACGTCTCGCCAGTAGACGTGTCAACTTCTCAGAATTTATTCTTTTTTTTTTTTTCTTCCTTTTTTCTTTTTCAGGAATCCGCTCAAGTGCTGTTCTCCTTCATGGAGTCTCACCTTCGGGACATTATGACTCATGTCTATGGTAGTCATGTTCTTCGTACTTTGCTCGAGGTCTTGGGGGGAGTTGTTGTCACAGATGATATTGTACGAAGTCGTGTTTCCCGAAGTCAGAGCATGAAAAAAGTTGGTAAGTCCTGCTCTGATTTGTTTTTGCTGAAAGTAGTTGCAATGCCTGGTTTCTGGTTACTGTTTCAATGGTTCATTAGAGAGGGTTGCTTGTTTGCTCTGTCTTAAGTTCTAGACATGTAATTTAGAGGTTTTACCTCAACTGATTTTTCTGTCTTTCCCTGTATTATAACTCTTTCCCTCTTTGCTAGTGTTTCTTTTAACTCGAACTGGAATACTTAAGATGTACTAAGAAGGTTATAGTCTAATAGTGAAATAAGAAAATAAAGCTCTTTTCTTTTTTCTTAGCATCTTATCAAACATTTATTATGATGAGTCACTGATAGGAACTCTTTGATTGATGTCATAGTCATAGATATGTTTGTTTTTCTTGAGGTTTGAGCCTTTTGATGAGCCTTGTGCAGTCAAACCTGCCCTGACGGCCACCTGTACAAATGGCCACTTTCCATTCCCCCTTGCGTTTTTTCTGTATATAATTTAACTGTATAAAGCGGGCACCTGTCCAACACGGCCACGGCCACCATATTTTAACACACAACCCCTATCACACTAAGCAATAACACCTGTCTTAGACGGCCACCTTAGTGGCTCCATTACGTTTTGTCATAAATTGTGCATTGGCCCCTGGCGTTGTTGTGAGCGAGCCGTCATAATTCAATCACCTGTCGTTTTTGTTAGGTAGTCCCTCCAACCGATCATGTTGCGTAGGCCCCTCCCACTGTTGACCAATAGCAACCAATTTTCAGCTGCTTGTGAGGTAAACCTGTGATCCCTCATATACCATAAGCCCCGCCCAGAACTCATACACAAATCGTAAGTGAGATGAGTGGTCACTGTTTACCCAGTTTGTAACAAAGTAACACAGGACGTCAACATGAACTTGTGACAGAAGCGTCGCTCGTTCTCAGAGGGGTGGCGACCCATGTGTTTGTTTTAACATGGCACTCGGTCTTCCTCGTCTTATACATTGCATTTTATTGTCACCCTTGTGCAAAATCAGCAACAAAATATTAATTACAAACAAAATACAAACCACCACCAACAACAATGCGGCTACTTTCGATTGGAACCTCAGATGGGAATGGTTTGTTTTCTTCATTTTGATCAGTCCTGCCTAAGACGGCCACCTGTCTTATACTGCCACTTTTCTCCTTGACAATGGGTGGCCGTCTTACACAGGTTTGACTGTACTTTCCTTTTACCTTCTATTTTCAGTGTCCATGATTTAACAATGCTTATTAATTATAGAATGTAACCTCGATGGATCATTTCCTGAATTTTCTACTTTGTCCAGCCGACAGACCTGAAGTTGACAGTGGTGTTTTGAAATCATTTAGCGAGGAGCAGAAGTCCTGGTTTGAGACACTCTCACAGAAGTTGATCAAGCTGTGCAATTATGAAGGTTTGTATTGTGTTCTTTACAGCTGTTGTGCTTTTCTCATGTGAATAGAACAAGGGAGGTTCCCACTTCTTTACTCTCCCTAATTGTTGCAGTCTATCAGTCTTGCTTTCTACTTGCACTGTATGACTTTACTGCCTCTTTCTGTTGTTTCTGTCTGTTGGTCAAGCTTTCTACTAGCGCAAACTGATTGTCATTGTATTTAATAACTTGTGTGTGGGACGAGGGTTGCCTCTCTGTAGTGGCAAAAGAAAGTTGTACACCCTCATGATTATGAGCATTGATCTTTGTTCTCTCTTGGCATTTTTGTTCAACTTCAGATTTGGTCTCTCTTGTGTGTGGGTGGTTGGTGGGTGCTCTGGTGTTTTTTGCTCCTTCTTTCCTTTCAAACATCTGTCGTCCTTATCTCCCCTCCTTCTATTTTGTGTTTGTTACTCTCTTGTAACACCTCTAATCTTCAGCAGTTATATGACCTTATTATGTTGCAAGTGCCGTATTTTCTTACTAAAACAAACAAACCTCTCTTTTGCTTCAATAATAATCGCAGACTCTGTATGCAGTTATAGAAAGTGTATGTGCTGTGTGCCCTATGGTGATGGAATGTATGAATGTGTGTCAAAATAGGTCAGTATAATATGTGTTAGGAAATGCTTTAGTACAGCTTGTAACTGTTTGCTATATTATATTTTTTCTGTGGGTGGTTGGCGGGTGCTCTGGTGTGGTTTGCTTCTTCTTTCCTATGAAACATCTATCGTACTTATCTCCCCTTCTTCTTTTTTATGTTTGTTACTCTCTTGTAACACCTCTAATCTTCTGGCGCTCCTATAACCTAATGCAGTTGCGAACGCCCTAAAACCTCTACTAAAACTAAAACTAAACATACCTCTTCTTATTGTCCAGATCACCTGAGCGACAATAATTACAGCCCAGTGCTCCAAACAGTTCTGCTGATTCTGAGCAAAACTTCCCCATCTGAGTATGACAAATTGGTTGACACCATATTAGAAAAGACCTGCATGCTGGCAAATCAGGAAGATATTCCAGCTGATGACATTGTAAACAGGTTTGTTATAACACATAATGTTAGAGAACTCGGGATATTAGGGAGAGAGAAATTTCTGCCCACCCCCTTTTACCCCTCCTCTGGGCTTCTGACTCTTTCTACTGCTACTCCTTGGCTCCTTCTTACTGCTGTCTTTCAACCGTACCCCTGATCTTCTGGTAGGAAATATCTACATCTAGCCTTCTCGGACAAGGGTGAAAAGTCTCGGAGGTCTCATGCGCAAGTTGCACATGTTAAAGATCCCTTGGTGGCCAAAAGTCGATAAGAGTAGGCTTCGGCTGCCACCCGGGAAAAATTCAAAATTTTCTACCTACTGAAAATGTTCAATGTGTCCCCCCGCCTGTGCTCATATGGCTGTATGCAGTTGCGAGCGCTGTAAAACACTTACCAAAAAGAATATATAAATAAGTTGTCCTACTAGCTTTCTCCTATGAGTATGAGGGTGAAGTTCTGAGACGAACTCATCTCTTTCCTATGACCCAGAAAATCATTTAGCAATCAGTAAGTTAAATGCTGTCAGGAATATATATATAAAAACACACTAGAAATGTTTCACAACTTGAAAAAAAAAATGTGTTTTGTAATACACTTTATACATTTCTAAAATATTTTGTAGCTTTTAAGTTGTTGTGTTAGACTGCAATTGGGGATTTTAAAATAACTTTTGTTTGTCAAATAGAGAAAAATAGTCTTTGTTTATTAGTCGACTATAAGAGAAATAAGTAGGCAGATTGTGGTAAATGCTCCAAGTGAAGACATCTGTTCCTTTTTTTTTTTATTGTTGTTGTTCTTATTTATCTGAAATTTTATTTCGTAAGTTTTTGTTCACAAATTCTTTTTACTGATCACTCAATTTTTTTGTTCAAACTTAACTTTTAAGTTGGTTGGGCTTTTGGTGGGGGTTTGTGGTATTTTTTGGGTGTGTTTTTTTTTTGTTTGGGGTTTTTTTGGAACAATTTTGTGATGTATCGTTGCAGATTACCTCTTCTTGTCCAGGATAACATTGGCTCTTTCGTTGTGGAGCTGATCATCTCTCTGAGTTCTGGGCCCAGGTTTGAGGAGCTTTACAACTTACTCTTCAAAGGAAAGCTGCTGTTTTTTGCTGTTCATCCATTTGCAAATTATGTTCTTCAGAAAATGTTGTCAACAATCTCTGAGAAAAAACTGGTATGTTGTGGTGATTTTTGACATGTGTGTTGGGGTAGGGGGGAAATTGGTGGGGAAACTGCTTTGCGTATTGCCTAATTTGACTCGTCGTAATTGCTTTCTTCCCTGCTGTGTATGCATGGGTATGGCAGTGTTAAAGGCATTGCTGGTGAAAATTTCACCTTTTGAAGTTTACATTTGAAGGCCTTAGTTAATGGAAAAGCAATCACCAGTTTAGTTTTGTATGGAAATAAAATTAAATGTGCTTTGTTTTCTAACATGAATCAAATCCACAGAATTGATAAGTAGATGATATTCAGTCCTTGTCATGAAATCAAATTGAAGAGCACAGGGGAGAAACTACGGTAGTCACAAACTGGAAATTGTGAGGGTGCCGATTTTAAAAGATTGTGGACTCATAACGTCATATTTGTTTGACTTGTGGTTTATTGTTAAGTGTTGTTGAATGAGAAATCTAACAACTGTAATCAACCAACAGTTGAACAGAAATTCGGTTATGAGACAACAAGCGTTCAAAATTGGTATCCGGGCGATTTTCTGTTTGTGACTACCGTCGCTTTCCCCCTGTAGTCTTCAATTGTATTTGACAGACTGGCTGAGTTGAGAATGCTGTGCTTTTAGGAAGAAGTTAATGTGAACTATACTGGTTATTGGTCTCTTGGCTGTATCATTTCCTAATTTTGTCTCAGAATTTGAATTGGATTTAATTTGGTGGGTGGTCGGCGGGTGCTCTGGTGTGGTTTGCTTCTTCTTTCCTATCAAACATCTGTCGTCTTTATTTCCCCTCCTTCTTTTTTGTGTTTGTTACTCTCTTGTAACACCTCTAATCTTCGGCACTTATATTATACGACCTTATTGTGTTGCAAGTGCCGTAATACTCTTACTGAAATGAAAAAACATTTAATTTGAAGTACTGATGATGAATTTTTGGAAAGCCGTCTTTATCTAAAGTGTTTTGGTTGTGGGTCCTATAGATGCAGAATATCCTTGACGACATCAGCAAGTACATTGAGGATATCCTGGCTGTGAACCACTGCGGTATCGTCACAAAACTGGCCGAGGCCTGTCAGAGGACTGGGGTTGGGCAGGAGCAGTTTTTGCAGGTAATTGAAGGGTTCTCATAATAGTAATAATAAATAGCATTTGTATAGCGCATGTTCCTACTCGAAAGCAAGCTCTTTGTGCTTTACACTACATTATTACACCAGCAGACCATAGAACACTCAGAAACATTCTCAGCCTCCCGGGAAGCATGCAGTGCAAGCAGCTGGTTAAGTGCTCAAACACTAACAAACTGACAAGATCTTTCACTGTCTATAGCTGGGTACCCGTTCCCACCTGGTCAAGTGCTCAAACACTAACAAACTGACAAGATCTTTCACTGTCTATAGCTGGGTACCCATTCCCACCTGGGTGAAGTGAGGAAAATTCATGTAAAGCGTCTTTCCCGTGGGGTAAAGACTTAATGATGAAATAGGGCATGCCGTTAGCTCCGTTGATATTGTGCTGGGCTATGGTGTGAATGACCCAGATTTGTTTATGTATCTTTATTGGAAAGTTCTTGAATTTGGGTTGTTGGAGATATCAAGGCTCTCTGTCCTTTTGGCTTAGTCCGCTCATCAACCCCCGGGGCAGTGCTATTTCTGGGGTGCCTTGATAGTCGAAGCAGACTTTGTGCTGTTGAAGCTAGAGAAGTGAGCAGAGTAAGCCTGATTCCCTGTAAGGACTTCTCGGTTGACCTCCACCCCTTGGCGCTCATGTGACCTTCTGCAGTTGTGAGTGCCGTAAAAACTCTACTAAACCTAAACATTAGTCCTCTCAGAGATGGACAGTGAATTTGGAGGACTTGCCTGCCGTTTAAATAGCTTTACATTGTTAAGAGGGATGATAAACCCATTGTAATGATTTCAGATAGTGATGTTTCTATTTTACTTGCCTTAAAATGAGCTATGTAGATTTCATTCTTATTTTAAAGTGTCGATTGTCAGTAAAACCCTTAATTTGTTTGTGCTCAATTTGAAAAAAGCCAATTGCACAGACAAGGTTCTTCATAGTGACTCCTTATCTTATGTGTTATTGAAAAAGCTGTTCTCTCTTTTAGAAATAACATTGGTATGCATTTCCTCTACTCATTCTGTGATATGGGTCCTGAAATTGCCTGAAGTCTTTGAGGGTTGTTTTTGTTGGGTTTTTTTATTCATTGGATAACAGTAGATATGTTTGTAACAGAATTTGTTTCAGGTAATCTTGGTGATAAAAATAACTTGGTGCTTGATACCTATTTTTGTACTTCACTTATCAAACCACCCCCCCCCCCCCCCACCCCCCAGAACAAGAACTCATTGAGAAACATACATTATGACTGCACATACAATGTTTGTGGTTCTCAGGTCCTTATGTCGGCTTTTCACTGCTATGAGCCAGAGTCAAAGCGGACCAAGATTGTGCCTCTCGTGGCATCATTCCAGACATATGAGGTTTTTTACAAGGCTGCTGAAGATTCAAAGGAAGAAGGGGCCAGTGTAAGTTATATGTGTGTTTTGAATATCTTTCGTTTCATATTTCAAATATAGCACTCCTGTTTCGTAATATTGGAATGCCTGACATGACTCCTTTAGGATTAAAAAATAAGTAAATCTAATCTAATTTTAGATTTGATTGAAACTGAGATCTCTCCATGATGGGTAAATAGGGATGCCTCATGTGTATATGCGATCAAAGTCCTACTTTGTTACTGTATGAAAGCATGAACTTATCAGTGCAAGTGTGATTAAAGCCACCTGTTAGCTCTCTTCATGACTACAAGAATTTCAGCATCACTGCAACCTGCACTCCCCCATCTTTCCAACTCAAACTCAAGTACATGCTCTCTTTCAGTTTTGTGGTTAGGCAACTGGGCTCGAAATCGTGAGATTGTGGGTTCGGGGGTTCGAGCCTCAGCTCGGTCCGACGTTGTGTCCCTGGGAAAGGCACTTTACACGAACTTCCCACTTGGCTCGGTCCTATCGGAGGCGGACGTTAAACTAGGAGGTCCCGCCCCTTAAATAACCTAATAGTGTTGATAGGGGCGTTAAACCTATACCGGGGTCTCTCGTGGCCTAGAGGTTAAGGTGTTGGCCTCTCATTCAAAGGTCCCGGGTTCGAATCCGGGTAGCGACCAAAAAATTTTCTTCTCTGAAATTGTCTCCTTTCACCTCCTTTCCTGCTCTCTAGCAATGTTCTGTTGTCTGCTTTCATTTCCACTTTCTGCCCACCACCCCCTCACCTCCTTTGCCCCCTCCTCTGGGCTCCTGACTCTTTCTGCAGCCTTTCTACTGTTACTCATTGGCTCCTCCTTACTACTGTCTTTCTGCCACACCCCTGATCTTCTGGTAAGAAAGATCTACACCTAGCCTTTTCGGACAAGGGCGAAAAATCTCGGAGGGCCCGTGTGCAAGTTGCGCACGTTAAAGATCCCTTGGTGGTCTAAAATCGATAAGAGTAGGCTTCGGCCGCCACTCGGGCAAAATTCAAAATTTCCTACCAACTGAAAATATTAGGTGTGTCCCGCGAGCTCATATGACCTTATGTAGTTGCGAGCGCCGTAAAACACTTTACAAAAACAAAAAACCTATACCAGTTGTTTTTTTCAGTTTTGTTCTCTATTTTGAGGCCCATCTATAAATTTTAATTTATTTCTTCAATGATTTTTTTCTTGCATGCTGTTTCGTATTGGTCAATACTGAAACCTAAAAATGTTTTTTGAAAGTTGATTTTCTAGCCTGTCCACAATCCCAAACCAGGATTGTTTTTCTCCCTTTTTCTTACATATATGGTAAGGGACAAATAGAAATGAACATGTGCAAACTGTGAAATACCCCACATAAGGAACCTCCCAACCGAAAATGCCCCTTAGCAAGGATGTAGTTATATCACAGCGTCACTGACACAGTTTAGGTCTATGTATACCCACATATATATATTATAATCTGTCTAATGCTATACATGATATATAGGTCTATATAGAGAGCGAAATTATATAAGTATACACACTTGCATTCAATAAAAATAATAATCATTTATATAAATGTGTTGGGGTGCTCTGTCACTGCTGGAAAATTAATGGCTACCTGTAGAAAATTTGAAGTTAACTTGGCAGTCACCCTGGCACTGATTTGTTGCTGATCCTGATTTTTTAATTTTTTATCACCCCTGAGATCCTGATTTTTAGGTTTCATAGAGTGGCAAATCTACATATATGTACAAATATATATGTGTGTGTGTAAATGTTTATGCCTTTGTCGCTTTTTTTCATGGAATTAAATATATATGTATCTCCCTAATCTCTCCACTTTTTCTGGCTTCCAGGCTCTGCTCAAAACTGTCAGCTACCATGGTTCTATGATCCTGCAGCAGCTGTTGCAGTTTTCGAAACCAGTTACCGTGGTGATGAGTGTTCTAGAGCTGTCGGCTGCAGAGCTCCTGTTCTTGGCATGTAACCACAAGGGCAGTCACGTGGTGGATGTTTTCTTCCAGAGCCCCACCGTGAAGGACAAACACAAGGACACTCTTGTGAAGAAACTTGTGGTAGGGGAAGTTTGTCTTTATTGCTTTTTAAAAAAAATTATTTTCTTGGAAAGTTATTCATGATCAAGGTTTAATGTCCTACTATACTTAATCAAGGTCACCGGAGTGGGTGGTTGGCGGATGCTCTGGTGTGGTTTGCTTCTTCTTTCCTATCAAACATCTATCGTCCTTATCTCCCCTTCTTTTTTTTATGTTTGTTACCCTCTTGTAACACCTCTGATCTTCTGGCGCTCATAGGACCTTATACAGTTGCGAGTGCCGGAAAACCTCTACTAAAACAAAACAAAAGAAAAATTCTTTTCTGGGAAAGTTGTTCATGATGAAGGTTTAATGTCCTACTGTACTTAATCAAAGTCACCGGTGTCTGTGCTGTAATGGCTATGCTGTTCATCATTGCACACAGGTGTGAGATCGATTCCTTTGTGGAGGGGAAGTTATTTTATCAAGTGCCCTCCTCTGCCATGGCTCTCAATATTCCGCTATTTAGCGGATTTGCGCTACTATTTCCTCCGCTAAACCACCACTTTCTGTACATAATCAAAATTGCAAATACTATTTGGTAAGTGACTGTTTTACTTGAAATTATTTTCCAAACCCTCAAATTAGTATAAAATAACATTGTTTTGATAAATTTATAGTTTTTATTTCAGCATTCTAGGATTAAACGGTTTAATAATAATAATGGTTGTTTTTTAAAAAATGGTCTTCTGTCGCCATCACGCGGAAAGTTCCTCTTTTTAAAAATTCTGAGTTGAGACCCATGGTTGTAAGGTATCGTGGAAATTAGACTTGTAAATGTTATTCGTATCGCAGACACACACACCGCACGCACACACACACACACACACACATGTTCATCACTCCGAAGGTCCTATGGGTTTGTTTTTGCAGCATATTCCCCATTATTCCCCTATTTTCACAATGGTTTAGTTTCAGAGGGGGTCAAACTTTTGTTTTTCTTGTATTTCCAACTGATTTTATAAGTTTTGTGAACATTTAGATATGTGGAGATCTCACGCCGTCTTATGTACACTTGTTGATTTTTTTTTAAAATTTCTTTTAGCTTGTTATATCAGTTTTAGTTTTAGTAGAGGTTTTCCGGCGCTCGCTACTGCATAACGTCTTATGAGCGCCAGAAGATTAGAGGTGTTACAAGAGAGTAACAAACATAAAAAGAAGAAGGGGAGATCAGGACGATAGATGTTTGATAGGAAAGGAGCAAATCACACCAGAGCACCCGTCAGCAACCCACACTTGTTATATTGGTTTCTGATTTTGTTATCAAATGAAGGCTGTGTCATGTACTTTTCAGTGTATTTTCATCTTTTGTTAACCTGCATGAAATCTACTCTTGTTTTGTTCTCAGGGTCTGTACATCAACATGGCCTGTAACAAAGTCGGATCTCGTTGTCTGGAAAACATCTGGAAGCTGGTCTCCATTCCGCTACGAGTCCTCATCGCTGAAGATCTAAGCAAGGTTCTTTTCCTACATCCTTCGTATATTTTTGTATCTGTCTCTGTCTGTTTCGTTAATTCAATAAAATGGGAAAAACTGACAACGCTTATCAATTACCCTCCTTCCTGCCCCTGACATATGAATTATTGCTTTGGTTTATCTTTGTGAAATTAAGATTTTATGCAGCTTGATTCTGATGTTGTGTATTGATGTGAGGCGTTAAGACCAGAAATAGATGACATCTCTCATTTTTTAGCTGTGGGGTAAGGTTGTTGATACCTTTGTAGTTTGATTCATTTTTATGGGTTTTTTCCTTGACATTGAACTGGAATGTGGTGTATATGTTTCTTGTTGTACTTGGAAGACTCCAGTTTGTATATTCCCTGGGAAGGTATTTTAAAAAATGTATTATCTCCATCTAAATAATGAAAGGCTGAACCTGGATTGGCCTTACAGGCAGTTTAGAAGCAGCCTGTCTCATAAATTGTGTGAATTTGATCACCTTCCTTGAGACAGCTAAATTGAGTCTAAGTGATGAAATTACTTGTAGTTTAGAAGCACTAGATTTTATTACTCTGCCATTTTTTAGTGGTGTTTTCACCGTTCTTCTGACCTGTAACTTTTCCTCTTCCCCCCAGTACAATGAGAGACTGGAGGGGGACTTCTCTGGCAGGTTCATTTTCAACAACTTTGCCCTGCACAAATTTGTGACCCGCCGTAAAGAGTGGAGGGAAATTCAAGGGGCAAACTCAAAGAAGAAACAGCTCCTGAAAGGCATTTTGGAAGGTATGTTTGAATTTCTGTGTCATTTATGTCTGTTACTCCTCTAGACAACCTTCTAGGTGAACCTCGTATAACTTAATGTAAACGAGGCCCTTAACCCATTACACCCTAACTTGTCCAGGATCTCCTGGAAATTTCTTTACACTCTCCACCGTAAACTGCCTGGAATCACCCACCGCCCCCTTAACTCTTTATCTCCGGCAAGCCGCTCTCAGCGGCTCACGGTCAGAATCACTGTGCTGGTGAGTCGCTGACAGCGGCTCGTCCACATTCCTTTACGGCTTCGACGTCATATTGCTTTTTGGCAATTGCTGAAAACAGGTATCTTTTATCGGAAGTTCATTCTTTAGATGAAGAACTATCAAAATAAGCTTACTTGTTTTGATTTAATGACCAATTTAGTGACGATTTTGTCATTTTTAGATACAGTCAGAGATGGCAACCAATACGATTTTACGTATTTTAGTATTTTTTGCCGAAAATACGCGAATACGACTTTTCATGAAAAAATATGCATCCTGGAATGCGAAAAATATGGGATTCAGCTCGGGCGAATAAACCTAATTATCCCAAGTCCCATCTTTTGTCAAAATAGTATCAATACCGCAGAACTGGAATATTTGAAAACCAAGTCCGATAAGGTCAGTAAGTTCATTTTTGCCGGTCGCGATCGTGATATTAGGCAGCACCAGAGGACAAAGACTTGGAAGCACATTTCAGAATTTTGATTAGAGCTTTCTGCAAAGTGCGCTTTGGTGCAGGCCGGGTGCGGAATCGGGACCCTTCATACTTTGCAAGTCTGTGTTATTGAAATAAAGTGTTCACGTTTCATTGGATGGGTGATTGTAAATTATACCTACAGTATGTTGTAGCTTTCTGTTCAAGACTGGCAGATTTTCAGTGTCACTGCATCTTGCCCTCCCACAGTTGTTACTACTCTCACAGTGCACGGGTCTACTTGAGCCATTCAAGTCATTACTTTTCTCTGAGTTTGAACAATAATTTGAGTCTGTTAGTTCATATTATGAATCATGGACACCCAGACTGGTTCTTGATAGTCAAAATTCTTGTTCAAGGCCCTTCCGAACTCTCAAAGCAGGATTTATTTTTTTCATAATAATGAGAGGAAAATATTAGCGGTATATAATAGACTGAAATACTTAAGTCAAACAAGACCCCAGTACGACACTGAACACTGACATGTTGTTGACTGGGTACATGTATGTTGTATGTGTGTGTGCTCCCTATTTCGAGCTGGTGAGCTAGTGATTTTTTTTCAGGAAATATTGCCGGACACCCTGAACATTTTACTATCACTAGTTGGTCGGTCGTGGGGAATACACATTTTCCCCTGAAAATACACATTTTCATATGTCCCAATACTCATTTCGGCTTTCTGTGGTTGGCATCTCTGTCTGTATCATCCCTTGTGGTCATACTGACCCTATGCATTCCAATCTCTTGCCATTGCTCTATTAGTAATAATCTTTGCTTGAGATTCAGACCTCCTAAATTATCTAAATTGTGTCAGTGGAGTTGAGGCGCTTAAAACTCCTGCATTTAAAAATGCTTGAGGTTTACAAAATGGAAGAGAATCTGGGATAGTTTTTGTGGCCAGTTGCTTTTGTCATTTACAGGCTTTCTCATGGTTTGGGTCTAGATCTAGACTAGATTGTGCCTTTGTTCCTTCTTGCCCTTTTGAGATTTTGTTTTTTTTTACGTTTTCTTTACCTGAAATTATAGAGAAAGAGACTTGGTGAGCTTTTGAAGACAGCAATGAAAGGCATCTTTTTTTTATTCCTGAATGAGAAACAATGTACCATCTTCTTTTTCATAATCTTCAAATGTTTTGAGTCTTAAGATGTTCTTTTTTCTTTTTTAGGAAAACAGCCCAAGAAAATGAAAGAGAAGAAAAAACCTTCCAGTCAACTTGCAGTTGAGGAAACTGAGGTAATTGCAGTATTTATACTTTCATTTTGTGTTCGTGTCACTGACCATGTCAATTGTTGAGATTTAGTTGGCAGATTTGGTGAAATTCCCATGTCTCGGGGACGATGGTTACATAACAGCTTTGTAGTTCTTCGAATTGTTGAATTTGAACTTTCCTATGCTGCATTTGAACTGACAATAATAATAAATAGCATTTGTATAGCGCATATCCCCGCTCAACAGCAGGCTCTATGCGCTTTACACTATATTATTACCCCAGCAGACCATAGAACACTCCGAAACATTCTCTGCTTCCCGGGAAGCATACAGTGCAAGCAGCTGATTAAGTTCTCAAACACTAACAAACTGACAAGATCTTTCGATGTCTATAGCCGGGTACCCATTCTGACCAGGGTGAAGTGAGGAAAATTTGTGTAAAGTGCCTTTCCCAAGGACACAACGTCGGGCCTCTGACGGGATTCGAACCCACGACCTTACGGTTGTGAGTCCGAGAGCCTAACATGGCGGGTTTGGCAAGAAAGCCCGTGCTTCCACAGGTCACGGGGTCATTTACCTGCGCCGCCAGGGATTTCCTTTATCAGCCGAACACCGGCAGCGCTCTTGGGTTTTTTTTTGCAAAGTTTATCAACACATTGAGCCAAAGCTAATGTAAGCCCGGACAACACAGCAGACGAGTCAGCCTAGAGAACTTTCTTTCTGATCGCCAACGCCGAGCTGTCAATATCGCTAACGTTTGAGAAAGAAACTTGATTCGACTTTTGATCAAGTAAGACTTAAAGGTCATGTGACAGTAAGTTACAGCATTTTTTTAAAGTCATGTTGCCATTGTGTGTTTTTTACTCTCTGTATAATGCCTTTTCTTCTCTATCCTTCAACCATCTACCCCATCCCCTATTGCTTTTTGCCGTCCAATTTAATCTTTGGGGTAAACAAGCAGTGGTTCTTTTGTGGCCCGCTGTAAAATAGCTTTGTGGAAATTTTTTTTTTTTTTTTCGTTTCTCAGAACCCGACTGACTTTGTTGATGAGAGCAACGAGAAGAATCCCAGTCAGTCACTGGATGGTCCGCAACAAAAGAAGAAAAAGGAAAAGGCTGCCGTCTGTGAAGCTGTCATTGACCGGCTGCCCACATCTGGTGTTCTGGATGAGTCGAGCAATGTTGATAATGACGATAACAAAAAGAGTAGAAACAGGAAGAAGGAAAAGAAACGGGTAGTGAGAACTGCGGATAAGGCGAGTGATTCAGACACTGTACCTGTGAAAAAGAAAAGAAAACGAGATCAAGGGGAAAGTGTTGGGGATGAGGAAGAAGTTATTGTGTCTAAAAAGAAGAAGAAGAAACAGAAAAATGTTAGTGGCAGTAGCATTAAGAAGAATACAAATACTGAACGTGTGAAAAAGAAGAAACGAGATCAGGAGAAAAGTATTGAGGATGAGGAAGAGGTTATTGTGCCAAAGAAAAAGAAGAAGAAACAGAAAGATGTTCATGAATGATAATAGTAGGGATAAGAACAAGGGGGGAAAACAAAGATGAAGAAGAGAATAAGGTAAGAGATGGGGAGATGTTGTTGCATTTAACCCTTTCATTGCCAGGTTGTATGCGTTCCTGTCAGCACTGATTTTGAGCTGAGCTCGTTTCTCAGGACAGCAGCCTAATGTTTCAGTATTAGTGGACGCGCGGTCTAGATCTAGCGCTCTCATTACATATTTCAGACACTGGGTCTTTGATTGTCACTTTTCTTATCGGATCAGATTAACGAGTAAATGTCCTCTTTGGAAAGTGGTGGCACAGAGTCCCCCACATCGTATGGATGCGATAGTAAAACACAACGTACGGATAGGATTAAAAGAGCTGGAAGACCTTCAGCAGAGGCTGATGAAAAGTAACTTTTGAGGAATAAATTAGAGTATGTGGAATAGAGCCAGGAAAAAACAGGATGAGGTTGAGGTGGCTGTTGTAGAGAAAGACACTGCCTGCAGGTGGATAGGTGGGATATCGAGGGGAGTTCTGTGGACAGGTGGGATACTTACTTTACTTTCATGAGATATTGAGGAGAGTTCTGTGGACAGATGAGATACAGTGGAACTCGGATTCAACGAGGTCGCCAGGCCCCACCTAAAATCTCGTTGAATCCGAGTGTTTGTTATAGCAAACATGAGGTTTTGTGTAGATAATTACAGGCACTGAGCAAGTAATGTATAAAGGGAAGTCACAAATAGTGCCTGAAATGCCTGCATATTATGAGGTGTGTAAAAAAAAAAGACCGATTCGTTCGAATGCACACACCTGTGTCATCTCGATTGTTTACCCCAAAGTTGTGTTGCTGTGAAGAGCCAAGCATACGGCAACTTTTGATTCCATAGACAAGCGCACAATTCATTACGTAGATCTACGTCAAGAGTAGCTTATCATTGTAATAATGATCAGTTGCCGAGGGTTATTTTTATTGATTTTAAAGAAGAAGAAAAACGGGGATTCTATCTCATATCGTTGAATCCGAGTTCTTGTTGAATCCGAGTTCCACTGTACTTACTTTACTTTCATGGGATATTGAGGGGAGTTCTGCGGACAGGTGGGATATTGTGAGGGGAATTCCGATAAATTTATTGGGCACGAGGAAATATTTCACTTTTTATAATAATGGTGAAGTTGGATTTCACAAGGTACAGCAGAAAAATGTGGTTTCCAGATTTCCTTGTTGTTTTGTTATTATGCTAATTTCATGTAAATAAAAAAGTTCAAATTTATTTGCCTTTTGATTTTATTATTTTGTTTGTCCTCTTGTTGTAACCTTATGGTTCTAAACGTGTGTGACCCAAGTAGTCACTTTTCACATGATTTTGTGTCTTTTCGTTAACTCATCAGCCCTAGCAGTCTTCCCAGCTGGAGGTCAGCTAACACAGAGATGGGTTTGCATTTTTGCCAATATTTGAAACGATGTCATTTCCTGCTCCTTTCCTTTATTAACGCTGCTAACGCTAACCATTGAACATAATGGACTGAGAAGATCATTTTGAGATTCATCATTCTTTGAAGCATTCATTTTTGCACTTCTGTGTTTGCTGCATGAGTGAGGGATGTGTTTGGATGTGGAAACAAAAGTCCGAACATTCATTGGTGACATCATCAGATTAGAGGCTGGTTGGCTGGTCACTGGTCATGCTTGTAACTGTTGATGGAGAGGGGGGGTAAATGTATGTAAGTCTATATATTGAAATTGATAAGATAAATCTTAACTGTCCTGATCCTGTCAAATTGGTTTGTTGTTTCTCCACATACACTCATGCGCAAACTGACTCGCGTGTGCACACCCATCCACACACATTCTCTCACACCTCTTCTTCTCCATCCACATGTGTGCATATATAACTATACACGTGTGGTTGGCGGGTGCTCTGGTGTGGTTTGCTCCTTCTTTCCTATCAAACATCTATCGTCCTTATCTCACCTCCTTTTTTGTGTTTGCTACTCTCTTGTAACACTTCTATTCTTTGGCATTGATATGACCTTATTGTGTTGCAAGTGCCGTAAAATTCTTTTTAAAAAAAGAAAAGAAAAAAAGCATGTAACTACAATAATGCAATAGTATAGTATACTTAAGCATTGAAGAATATTGTAACAACAGGCAAGTTTGACGGAAAGAGAGGCAGAGGCAGACAGAGAGAAAAGATACTGGACTAGTTGACAACATGGCTAGGAGTGGCAAGAACAACAGACACCATTGCTGCAACGCGGGGCAGAGTGAAATGGAGGTCCATGATCGCCCACGCCAGTCGGCAAGGCACCGGATGATAGTATGCTTGCACTGACGAACAGGCTCAGTCACATACATGTACATAATATAAATGAACAATAATAAATATTGTTACCATTAATAAATAGCGTACACGCTAAATACTTTTTTCGTGTGTTTTTTTACGGCGCTCACAACTGCATAAGGTTATATGAGTGCGCGGGACCATTAAAATTAGACATTTTCAGTCGGTAGGAAATATTGAATTTTGCCAAGGTGGCGGCCGAAGCCTACTCTTTTCGATTTTAGACCACCAAGGGATCTTTAACGAGCGCAACTTGCACGCGGGACTCCGAAATTTTTTGCCCTTGTCCGTGAAGGTTAGGTGTAGATCTGTCCTACCTGAAGATAAGGAGTGTGGCTGAAAGACAGCAGTAAGAAGGAGCCAAGGAGTAACAGTAGAAAGAGTCAGGAGCCCAGAGGAGGGGGCGAAGGAGGTGAAGGGGTGGGGGCAGAAAGTGGAGACGAAAGCAGACAACAGAACATTGCTAGAGAGCAGGAAAGTGGATATGAAAGGAGACAATTTTAAAGGACAAGTTTCAGTCCCTATCTGGATTCGAACCCAGGACCTTTCTGTCCCCGTAAAATTATGCTAATTTAGATGGCCAAATTATTCCCCAAAAATGCCAAATTATGCAAAAATTATGCAAGTTATCGTAACACCATTCGCGACATGTTTTGCACTTTTTCAACACGAATTTTCATGATTTTCATGTTTTATGTACAGAAAAATTTAAAACAGAACATATCAGTATCACTAATTTGTTGTGTATTTGGAAAGAAAACAATACACATCAGTAAGAAAAAAACAACCAAAAAATATAATCTCTAACTTTCAGCTGTAGATCTAGATCTAGTTCTAATCTAGATCTATAGAGGAAAGAAAAATGTTTAAAAAAAAAAAAAGGAAATCTGGACCTCTGATGCTGGCACATTACTAAAACCAAGGACACCTGTCAAACATGAAACATCAGCATACATGAGAACAACAACTTTTGATGGATTGTAAAATTGAACTTGCTCAAGGAACAAAATCACAACTCAAAGGCCCTAACCAAGATCTTCTAACAAGGGAAATAACCAACTTTTTACTTACATGAGACTTATTACCAGAGACACTAAAATATAGAGACAGGTTCCTGTCTCTATATTTTAGTGTCTCTGTTATTACGGTAATTATTTCCCTTTAGTCACATGGCGAGGCGTTAATTGTTTTGTGAAAAAAAAGGGTAAAAAAAGCGAGGAATCCAAAATTATGCAAATGTTGCAGAATTACGCGAAAAAACGGGGCCGCACTATCGCATAATCCTACAGGGACAGACCTTTGAATGAGAGGCGAGCACCTTAACCTCTAGGCCACGAGAGCCCCCGTGGCGTCATTGCAGATTGCTCTTCTAGTCTTCTCCCTACCTGCAGTGTCCTGCAGTACATTATGTAGCCTACCTATCCATGAATGCTAAAGCACAACTGTTCATTACAGATGCATGATTTCTTTCTCTGC